TAGGGTAAATCAAAAATTAACAAAAGACCAATAAAAACAGATAAACAACATACCAAAATCTATGGGATATAGCAAAAGAGATTCTAAGAGGGAAGTTTATAGCAATACAGGCCCACCTCCAAGACACAAGAAAAATCTCAAATAAACAATTTAAGTTTAAACCTAAAGGAACTAGAAAATAAAAGGATATAAGGTATTATACAATTTTTTCCTAAATAATGATAAGCAAACACGAAGAAAAAAACTAGAGGATTATAGATTTAACTGTTGCTATTTCAAGGAGATGAAGTTACTGCAGTTTACCTTTCTGTCTATGTACTTTTGTATCGTCAGATTTTTATTTTACAAAGTACATATAATTTGCCAAAAAAAGAAAATATTTCTTTTTAATTTTTCATTAATTCTCTAAATAAATACATACACATGCTATGTAAAAAAAGCCTCTCCAGCACAGCACTTTATAGCTGCCTAGTGTGGCTATGTCATAATTTGTGTAAGCAGTTCTCTGTTATTGGATATTTAGATTGTTTCCAAGTTTTTGCTACTATAGGCAGAACTCAGATGGGAATCCTTGTGGATAAATATTTGCACATATTCTTAATTATCTACTTGGAGTAAATTCCTAGGAGTAGAATTGCAGGCTCAAGATGTGGACATAATTAAGGACTTTTGACATATATTGCAAAATTATCCCATAAAATGTCAGTGCCAATTTACTTTCCCAACTGCAATGTGGGGGTGGCCTTTCCCTTCACTCAAGCCTGAATATTACTCTCTTTTGTCCAGTTCTTAACAATTTGGTAAGAAAGGGACACATCATTATTTGTAGTTGTATTTCTTTAATTATTAACATCATTCACATCCAGTTACTGGCTATTTGTTATTATTGTGTGACCTGCGGGTTGACATCTCTTCCCACTTTTCTTTCTGGTTTGTAAGAGTTCTTTATTTGTTAGCCTTTTGTCAAGCTAATATATGTCATTTGCCTTTTAACTTTGTTTAAGGTGTTTCTTTATGTTCAGGAATTTTGAATGTGTATATATTTTCTCAGCAATAAACTTTAATGTTCCAAAATTACTCAGAATTCTAATTACTGATTAGTAAATGGGCATTTGAAATATAACCTCTTGTACATATATGTATGGTCTTCTATACAAGCTACTTTATCATATTTTCATAACTTTTCCACATGTAAGCTCCTTGAAGACACGAGTCTTGACATTTCTTGAGTCCCCCACAGCAATCAGTACACAGACCAGAACTCCAGATTGTCTGAGATGAAAAAATATTGTCTGAAATTCGCTTTGAAACCATCAGTTTGGGGTGGGAGATGAAAATTGGGTAGAAATGAGACAGAATCAGTCACATGTTAATCACTGTTGAAGCTGGGCAATGGGTACATGGAGTTCAGTATACTATTATTTCTACTTTCTGTATATTTGAAAATTTCCATGATCAAAAGGATATTTTCTTAATGATTGCTTGATTGATTGGTCAACAGCATCAGAGAGGGGACTTCTGGAATAATAATGATAATGAAAATGAATTACATATTTATCAAGGCCACTTTTATACCATAAAAAAGTTAGGAGCACAGGCCTTGAAATTAGGCAGGCCTGGGTACAAATTCTTCCTAGCTTAGTGAACTTGAGCCAGTTATTTAACCCTGAAACTCTGTTTCCCTTTATAAACAAGGTTATTAATAACTACCTCAAGAGGTTCCAGTGAAGGTAAATGGGTGTAAAACTCAGTGCTTAGCACTTAATAGAGTTGTCATCATTATTATTCAGTGATTCACAAGCTTGAAAAGCTCCAGCCCTCATTTCCTGGTGGTGGTGATCCAATATTCTACTATGGCTGAGATTTCAGTTAATCTGTTTGGGCACCACACAGCTGCTGGCAGAGGAATTGGTAGAATGAATGTCAGAAATTACATTCCTGAAAGCCAGAAGAGATAACAGATAATATAACAGCATAAGACGAAGTCCAAAGCTCCCAACCTTACTCAGCAGGTCACCACAAGAGTTAACTCTACCTTCCAGTGATGCAATCAAGAACAAGAGTGATGAAACTCTTGCAGCAGTGGGTCATTCCCAGTTTGACCAAATGCTGTCATCACCTGGGAGCTTGAAATAATACAATGTCTGGGTCCCACTCCCAGAATTTGATTTAATGGCCCAGGATGTGGACTAGGTATCAAGGTTTTCAGAAATTGAATGTGATCTACTGTGCATCGTTCTGCTACATGAGCTGGGCTGGGACTAGGAGAGAAGAGGACAAGGGAAAACAAAGAAGAGACCAGAGACCATTGTTTCCCACACTATGCCCATTAAAACCATCCCATTCATGTGGGCCAAACCTGTGTCCCATGCCAAATAAAGCCAGCTCCATTAGAGTCCTTTCACTTCCTCCATAAACTTCAAGAGCCCACTACTGTATAATAATTCACAGGGCTAAAATATGTTAATAACACCAGGATGCGTGCATATCAGTATTCTAAAGAATAGTAAAGCAATGCAGCTGGTCTTGGGGTTTTGGTCTTAAAAAACAAAGAAGTCCAGCTAAGTGACAATGAAGGTTGGGGGAGGGAGGAAAGCATTTTGTCTCATGGCCTTTTGGCAGCCTGTCAATGCAACTGAAGCACACTCGAAGAGGCAGCCTCATTTCGTGGAGTTATTGCAGTGTCTTTGATCAAGGGGAAAAGCACATCCATTTCAATCACTGTAACGAGGAAGGGCTGGCTGTCTGGCTGCCTGGCTGCCCACCAGGGTGAGCCAGCCTCCAGCCGGCCGACACATGGCAGTGCTTAGAGTGTCAAACAAATGAGGGACTTCCTGACTGTCTATCTAACCTTTGCTGAACTTCAGAAGCCCCCTAGCTAGCAATTTTGCCTGGGCTAATCTGGAAGCTTGTTTCCCCGGCAAACACCACCTGGCCTGGCCTGGCCTTGACAAAATAAAAGCTGGCCAGCAGCTGTCTGTCCTGAAGCAGAAAGCACTGCCCCCCAGAACCAGGAGGGCAGGGGTCAACCATTCCATAAGCAATACACTTGGGATTACACAAGCCTGGAGAAAAGGAAAAATTATTGCTGTCAACTTCACCACTTCCCTGTTATCTTTACTCCAAACTAAGTTGAGAGAGGTCTGATTTTCTGCCCTATACCTGAATTTTCGGCAGTGCAGTTTCAGATATACACACAGAGATCACCTGCCATCTTTCCACTAGGATAAATAATAAATATTAAATCAGTGAGAAGGACATTCAAAAAAGTTTTTTTTTTTTCCTTAAGTGACATCATCCATAGCATCTTGGGAAGACTTGAATAGTAGAACCAGAGTAGAGATGGGGATAATGATGGTAACAATGACAGAGGTTTATACAACATTTATGTTCCTAGTGTTTCAAGTATGTTCACTCATTTACACCTCATCACAACCCTGGGAGGTGACTTTAGTAACACTCATTAATAATGTAATAAAATAGTAACATAACCATATGTGTAATATAATTATTATTACAATATAAATAATAATGGAGATAACAGTCTCCTTTTACACATAAAAGTCTTGTGACCCAGAGAAGTCCAGTGACGTGACTGAAGTAGTGGGGGCTGGGATTTTTGCCCAGGCAGTCTGGCTCCAGGAGCGCTGTGCTAACCACAGCACTGCACTGCCTTCTTCCAGTCTGCACCTCAGAGCCTCCTTTAAAGTTGCCACTTCAAAGAGCAGAGTAGGGAGGCCTCTGGAGGGCTTGGAGCTAGAGGGCTCTGAGTTTGAATCCCAGCTCCGCCACTCTTTGTCCATTGTTCTTGCATCATCTGTAAATGGGGATGTTAACACCCACCTCACAGGCCTGCGGTGAAGCCTAACTGAGAAAATGAATAAAAACACCTCTCACAGGGTGGGTAGCCAAGGTCGGTTTAATCCAGTGGCTGAACATTTGAATCAGCTGAGAATTTTAAAAAATGTGATGCCCAGTCCCTATCCCACCACCCCTCCACTTTTCCACCCCGAGAGGCAGTTGGCCTGAAATCAGCAATCCCTAGGCCCAGCCCCAGAACAAAACCTGAAACCCATGGGACCAAAGGCCAGCCTACACCCTTTGCCCCACTGATTCAGAGCTGCTGGGAAGCTATTAAACCTCTGAAGCCTCTGCTTCCAGCCCTAAGTTAGTGGGACTCCCCCAAATGCTGCTGTATACCACAACAGCAGTCAAGGCACCAGGACCATCCCCAACCCACTCTTGCCAGGTGGCCTTCCCCACTTTCATCCAGACAGTACCTTCACCCAGCTGCCTCCTGCTCCCCAGGCTAGGATCCCCCTCCAGCCAAAAAGCTTTACAAAAGAGCACTGGATTGTTCCCTGCTGCCCATGTTTTAGGAATAGCATGTGCCAACATCAACATGGCCAGCATTACTTTTACACACAGCATCAACCAGAAGACCATGAAGGATGAGAGGTGGATGCCTAAAAAAGAAATATTCAAATCTGAGTGCACGCATACATGTGTGCATGTGTGCACACGCACACACACACACACACACAGATGCTCTGAGAACCATGATATACTTTGTTCTCAAAGGGAGCATTGCTTTGTGTGAGGATGAGGGTAGGAAGAAGGGCAGTACAGAAGGAAAGAAATAAACACTGAAGGGAATACCAGGGTTGCCCATGGAAACTGGCAGGGCTAAGAAAAAATAATCAGCTTGCATTTGACCGAAGAGAAAAATGAAGACAGCCAGCAGGGAGGATGGGGACCAAGCAATGCCAATTCCTGGCTCAGACTTCCATGTACCTTTTCAGGACCCACTGACAGCTGGCAAAGTGGTGTGGTGGGCCCAGGAGGAGGAATGCAGGCACCAGAAGGCAGCACAGAGGGGTGTCAAAGAGTCCTCAGCTGCTTCCCAGAAAGTGGGGCTCTGCGCAGCCCTGCCGCCCTCAGGCACCGCCCCTCAGCCGCAATCCAGGAAAAGCACCTGGGAAACTTGGCCAAGTCCTCACCTGGGCAAAGGAGCCGTCCTCGCTGCACTCTGGGACAAACACGGCCTCCTGGGGCTTCTTGGCCTGCTCAAGGGCCTGAGCCCGCTCCAGGCGACACTTGCTCTGGCCAGCATCTGAAAGAGGAGAGAAACGAGTGTATTTCATACCTCACTTGGATTCCACACTAGAGCCATGGGATAAAATGGCTGCCCAGTTCTAGGACTGCTGAGAGAAAACCACTCGGCCTGTGGATGAGCCCACACACCACCGACTGGCTTTCTAACGACGCAAGGGCAGTAGCTGGTGAGTATGCTTGGCCTCATCTTCCTCTTAATGTTACTCTTAGAAAAGGGAGGCGGGGGTCGTGTTTATACCAGGTTCTGTTTATTTTTTTCTCCCAAGTATCCCCAGACCCTCCCAGGGGCGTAAAAAATGTATCACTTCTATTATTTTTCACTGGGTTTATTAAAAAACATGCAAGCCCAAGGGATCCCGAAAATGTTTTATAGTACAAGAATTGCAAGTGCTTTCTTTGGAAAATCAGAGACTCTAGGGCAGCCTGCTTAGACTCCCAAAATTTCTATAATGGCTTTGAGAAGTCCAGGAGTCACAAATTCAAATATCCACAAGGCATAGGAAAGTGATATAAATTAAACAAGTGAGCTGGGTGGGTATGCAAAGAATGGCATTTGGCTTGGAGACATCAGAAGGAGTGCTGAGGATGGCAGCAAACTGGGGAGCCGGCTCCCTGTAAAAGGTGGTAGCTCCTACTTAGCTCTCGCCATGGGAAACAATACAGACTTAATAGTACCAGAGCTTCCATTTTTTTATGAGAAGTACAAAAATCCAGATTTTTATGTTGAATCTCCCAATTGTTAAATGTTGTCTCAAATGTTTTTAATATTTTTAAACATGTGAGCAGACCAAACAAAATACATCTGTTGGCCAACAATTTGGAATCCCTATTCAGGAGCCAACAAGAATGTCTTGCCATTTTAAACATCTCCACTTACAAAAATACAAATAAATAAAATAAATAGCCCTAGCCAGACCGCAGCGCATCTCTCTAAGCCCTAGCCTGGTAGCAGTGTTCAAAAGACAGAAAAGTGCTCATTCCTTCAGACAGACCAGTTCTCCTTCCTATATTCCCTGGTAGAAGGGTTGGAGGGATAGTAGCAGACCCAATGAACAGACTCATTCCAAGTTCCCCTTGTGGGAGTGCACAGTGCTGGGGCTGTGGTGCCCAGGAGCATCTCCTCCAGTGGAAGGAGGTGCACACACTCACCTTTGCATCTACCACGGTGTACCACACCCAGGGTCGGGTCTCTGCACTTGGCTCGCTGGTACTCACACATGGACTCATAAGACCTGCCGTCAGAGGCACAGATGGGCTTGGGTTGAGTCCTGGAGCAGTGGAGGTTGCACTGAGGGTCACGGTCACTTATAAGAAACTAGGTTGGAAAAAAGTGAGAGTATATAGGTTACTTTTGCAAGAAAAGTAGAGGTGAGTCCATGACTTACAATACTGGTTCGCCTCAGGGAGCAAGTCCAGAATAAACCCAAAGTTATTAAGCCCTAGAAGTGGAAGGAAACTGAACAGCAACAAACTCTAACCAAGGAAGGCATCCTGCACTAAGTAATTCACACACCAGATATCGCTAATCCACACAACCCTATGAAACAGGAACTATTTATTTTGTAGATAAGAAAACTGAAGCCTAGGGAGAGGTAACTTGAACAATGTTCCATAGCTATAAGTGGTGAATCCGAACTGTATTGGTCAGAAGTCATATCAAAGCTTTCACCACTGGGACACTCATCTTCTTTGTCCATGCAGGTAGTCATGTCACCTCTATTTGAGTACTTTGCCAAACCAGGGATTACTAGCAATCTACATTTCATCTTTGGAAAGCTTTATTTTTTGGAAAGTAGTATTGAGATCCAAATCTATTGCCCTTCAATATCTGCCCACAGCCCTCTGGCAGAATACAGGCTAACTGACTTTTCATTAGAAAGGGATTTCCTGATTTAAAATAATACTAGTAATCAGGTTGGGAAATGCTGATAAACTGGTTTCTTTCCTACAGGACTTCTCAGACACCTTTGGTACATTCTTATGCATGGTGATACAGTAAATTAAAGGCAGCTACAAATTATTTGCTACTCTTTCCATTGAGCTAATTTCCTCCTCTTGAATCTGGACTGACTTTAGTACCTTGCTTAACCAATAAAATGCTGTACAAATGATGTTTTGGGGCTCCTGACAAAGGAGTGAACTCCTGAAGCTTTACAGCTTCCTCCCAGTCCTCTTGTAACAATCTGGGAAAACCAGCTGCCATGTAAGGAGCCCAAAACTCTGAGACTACCATGCCAAAAGGAAGGCTAAGCTAGCACGTGGCAAAAACTACGTACTGAGAGAAATGCCTAACAGACCCAGGCACAGGGACATGTGAGTAAAGAAGCCTTCAGATGATTCTATCCCCAACTATCATCTGACTGCAACTACCAGATGAAATAAGTAATTGCATGAGAAACCCCAAGTGCGAACCTCCCAGCTGAACCAAATCAACCCACGTAACGTTGAGATAATAATGAATTATTGTCTTAAGCCATTATGTTTTGTGGCAGTTACACAGCAATAGATAACCAGATCAAGGGGTATGTGTGGTGATGCATCTCCCAAACCTATTTGACCATGAACCCCTTTATCAGTGAACTCCTGTTAACAAGTACAGAGTACAGTTGGAAAACAATAATTGGACCATACAATCCATGAGCTTCTGCTGAACGATCCCCAATTAGACTGTATGGGCCTTGAGAGCTGAATCCATGCTTATCCACCCCTCCATAGCAGCGCTGGAGCATACTGAAGGCTCTTTATCAGTATGAACTGAGAATGAGTGCCCCACAGTGAGGAATGGCAATGTCGTGAGCCCACGTCTGGCCATCAGTGATGCTACAGTTGCCTGAATAGTCACACCAAGCTCATAGGGCTTAAGGAAGATGTAAATATAACCTTTGTTTTAGATGTATCTGCAGCCCCTTTGTGTGAAGCAAACTGATAAGAACTTGTTAACCCTTCTCCAGAAGAGCAGAAGGAGGCCTAAGGACAGTACCACTCCCTTCATGGGAGCACTGGGAACACATACTCCCTACTGGCCAAATTCCAAGAGTCTGAGCCTGTCCGTGAGTAGACCGCCTCCCAGCTGCAAAATCAGCCTCTCCTCCTACCCCCCTGACCTCATTCATGCCCGGGTGCCAGCTGCTCAGCACAGGGAGGGAACAGCTGAGAGCTGAGACTGCCACCCAGGCTGTGTCAGGATAGAGACTGCAACCTGTCCTCTCCAGACACTCTGGGTTCCCACACTTACAGGTTCAACCTGAGTCCTGCCCAAAGCCCAAAGGAAAATGTCCTGTTAGTGTCTCACGGTAGAGTCTAGTGTTCTAGGATAACTCAGTAATATAGTGAGCCGTACCCCCAGAGGAAGCCCACTGCCTCCCCAGCTGCCACGCAGAGGAGAGAGGAGCTTGAGCTGACAGTTCAACAGGAGGGGGCAGTGTCGGTCACAACACCCTGCACGGGATCCCGGCCTCCACTCCCCTCAGGTTGTCCTTGCTCAGAACCCTTGAGTGGGGTCCCACTCACTGCCCTTGGGGACCTTCACATGGTCTCCCAGTCTCCTGGGCCTGGCAGAATCTGCCCCAGGGACCCCGCTCTGACCTCAGTTCTTGCTGCTTTGTCAGACTGCTCACTGCCTGGCTCAGCACTGGTGGAGCACACTGGCCCACTTCCATTTCCCAAATGAGCTACAATTGCCCCTACCTCCAGGCCTCTGAACACACCTTCTCCCTTCCCTCCCACCCCCGTTCAGATTTCAGGAGGATTTCCCTTCTCATAGAGGAGGCTGTCTCACAGGTGATGACAGATCCCTCTGTAATGACTTCTCACATCCCACTTTTCCTTCATGGCACTTAACACAGTTTTTTATGGTGAATTAATCTATGTGAAACAATTAACAATGGAATCCCCAACTGAGAGTCCCACAAACACAAGGGTGGTATCTATTTTGCCTGTGAATACAATGCTGGGGCGCTAGGTCATCTGTGAGATGGGTGCATCCTTGTAGGGGCATTTCCAGCAGGGCATTACCTGGTTGATGTGACAAGCCTGGCCTCCCAGGCTCCTGCTCCCCCTCCCCCACCATCCCAACCCCCACGTGCTGAGCTCTCCCCCTCCCTCCAGCATTACAAGGTGGGCAAAGGCCGTCCACAGCTTCCTCCCCTAGCTCCACCTCAGAACTGAAGTTATCTCTGAGGCTGGGAGATAGGTCTTTTCTCTCCTTCTGCTACCCCCTCACCCCCGGACCCTCTGCCACTACAGCCTTCTAGCCTACAACACACTGCATTAGGGAAAACTCCGAACCCAAAGGTCCAGTTGAACAAGGCAGGTTTGGGAGGCCCTGGGCACAGGCTCCTGGATGGGCACAGGACACAGGTGACTGCCACGAGCGAAGCTGGCCTCAGCAGGCTCTCTTCCTCCCTCTGTATGGCTCCTTCAGTCCTGTTCCTAACCTGCCTGCCACCTAGAAATGCAACCAGACTGGCTCTGAAATTCTGCTTGGTGAGCAGCAGACACCAGGCCAGGGGATGGGATCACCACCTTCACACCGAGGCTTCCAGGCCAGCCAGAGCCTCAAGGCCGTCCAGAGCAAGTCAAGGCACTGCTGTTACCATGTTACTCTCTCCCGCTCTGTGGACGCATGTGTTACTTACTTGAAGTAAAACCCTGTTTTTAAGACCCACTTTGTTTGGTTATTTTGCCATGTGAATCAGCAGCAGCCAAGGAACAGCACGGCCTTTGTTCTCATGATCACACAAGGACAGAACTATCTGTGCCTCCTAATGCCTGTGAAAACCAAGGACCTCTTCCTTGGTCACAGAGGGATTTGGTAGCCAGACTTTAAGTCTGAAGAGTAACAGTAATAGAGCTGATGATTCGATCTTACTTATGGTAATGTCAACTTAATCTAATCTTCACCATAACCCTGTAATGCAGGGTATGTTACAATCCTCATTTTACAGATGAGGAGACTAAAGCCCAGAGAAGTTAGGTGACTTCTTCAAGGTTAAACGGCATGTGCTTGTCAGTGCTGGGATTGACACCCCCGACCTGGCCCCAGAGACGTGGCTTCTAACCACTACACTGCCTTCTGTTATTACAGAGGAATGCTGCAAATAGAAACTCTGACCCAATTGCTAAACTAGATTTGCAAAGTGAAAAACTGCTTACTAAGAGCCTACTATGTGCCAGATAACCATTGCTAAAGATCCAAACAAGACAGGCCTGCTCCCTGGGCACTTTAAGCCTCCTGCGAGAAGCTCCTCACAGGGCTCCTACTCACCTTGAAAATATCAGGAATCAAGGAAGACAAAGTTTCTTTTCAAACTCAAGGAGGCAGCCTTGCTGTCTCCTCCTCAGCTCACAGGAGAGCTGTGGGCGTCACCATGGCATTGAACTGCAGGCCATAAATTGGGTTTGGAAACGGTTGCTCTGGACCAACAGACACCAGAGCAGCTGTGCCTGAGCCCAGCTTAATAACCAGGGGAGCACTCTGTCTGCAAGACAGACAGGTTAAAGAGCTTCAGCAGAAGCCCCAACACACAGAGATCCTTCCTGGCTTCTGAAGAGCTCCCAGAAGGTTCCATCTAGAAATTACCGATCCCTGAGGCCAAGTATAAAATTATGAGACAGCACGGGGCCTTTGCTAAAGACAATCTTCAATCGTCTATGGTGTCTCATTTTAATCTGTTTTAGGAACTGTGTGTGTTTGTGGTTGTTTTCAAAACAGGGCAATGAGTTCCATAAAGGAGAGTTTTAATAGGATGACCATGTCCTACTAGGACCCCCCAAACCTCCAGGGCCCTGAGTGGGTTACTTTAGGTCCACACGCCTCCTGTTTAGTCATCTCTCCCTTGCCTCTTGCACTCACCCAGCGAGCCCACACCGCCTCAGGTGTGGGAGGCAAAGCACAACTAGCAGAGCGCTGCCCTCATTGAGCTTGCATTTTGGGGTGGAGACGACAAGAGAGCCAACACTGGTCATACAGCAAGGGGACAGGGACTGTGGGGCCATGAGAGGATTTAATCCTAGAGACTCTGCAATGCTACAAAGCCACATGATCCAATAGAACTTTCTGGAGTGGCAGACATGGTCTATATCTGTGCTATCCAATATGGTAGCCACAAACCACATGTGGCTATTAAGCACTACAATATAGTTAATGCAATTGAGGAACTACATTTTTAGTTGCATTTAATTTTAGTTAAATTTGCATAGCCTCATGTGGCTGGTGGCTACCATGTTCAAGAACACAGCTATAGAGGGGAGAAGCTCCTGCTCACCTCTCACTGGAGTTTCTCCCAGCTGAGCCAAGCTAAGACTGATCGGACC